AGCTTTACTCGGTTGATTTTTGCAGCAGAAAAACCACAATTTTTACTGATAGATTTTTCAAAGATACAGTCCATTTCTTGCTGTCAAAATGCATAAGGAAATAATTTTGTATTCAATAAGGATGCCAGTTTGACTAAATATAAAATATATTATTTTCCAAAACCACAAAAATGTTAAGCAGATTGTTGTTAAAACATGTGTAAGTCCTGTTTTGCATTGCTCCAGCTATTGATGTTGGATTACAAAAATAATTCATATTTTGTTATGAGGACATGGGTGTGTTCAGAGGCTCCAAGATCAGATGCTTGTTTCTCACAGCTTGTGGCATATGGTTTCTTCACCCAATCTGAGTTTCATGTGTTAACAGTTAATGAATGAAGGGCATGAAGAGTATAATTTCAGTGTGGGCTTTGTTTTATTCAGCTAATCTGAGTCCTCTCCTTTTCTTAAAAATGAAACAAAGCAACTATCCTCCCGTCCCTGCAAAAAACCCTAATATAACCAAAGCAGCAGTAAACCATGGCAAATTGGAAAATGTGTTACCACTAAAAGTCTAAGAAAAATTTTCTGAACAAACCACATTGTTAAGCATAAAATAGCTGTTTTTTGTCAATTGCTTCACAGGAGAGTGGGTGGAAATTTGACACCCTTACTATAGTGAACAGTAAGGCATGGAAATCGATATTAAAATGCTTCTATTTATATTTCTGTACAAAACGTTAAGTGGCTGAAACAATGTTAACTTTTAACTGTACATTAACATAGTATTATGCTGTACCATGGTAGAGCTGCTCGAATTAAGAGAATGCAAGCATTTCAATTATCTCAAATTTCAGAGTTGTTAAGGCATTCCATGCCTCTTCAGACAGTGTGTTCAGAACCAGGTTCTGATAATTAAGGGAAAAAAAGCATTTTCAACTAAAAATTATAGGGATTGAGAACTTTGCTCCTTATTCTGCAAAATCCTTACATTTTTGTTCTTTTGAAATCAATAAGAATACACTTTCCAGTAACTGGGTGTGCTTACACATTCATTGATGCACTGTAATTGGAGCTGTAATTGGTGCTACTGCACATTAGCGCACATGGATTTTTTTTAGTAACATTAACGTGCATTAGATTAAACCTAGTGCGCATTGGCACATTAGCACGTTTTGTCCACCTTGCTAATATGCAGTAAAATTAGTCATCTGCGCATTGTCTTGTGTAGATGAGACCACTGTTTAGATGCCTAATTTCTATTTATTTCAATGAAGTTAAGTGAATAAAGGATTTACTTGAGAATCTGGGCCTTATTGCTTTATAAGGGACTAAGATTCGATCCTTTAATTAAATGCTTTCCAGTTTCCTGTCTCAAAGTCAGAGTTCTCAGTCCTTTGCAGCATGAGACCTTTTCATTACAGGAATTACACCAGTGTATTTACATTTTTGCAAAAAATGTCTGTTTTCAGTTCTTCTTTGTTAAAATAATATTTTAATTCACTATTTTTGTCACATCCTGTATATTACAAAGATTATTTTATATTGAGAAATACAATAGGGAAGACAACAACAACAACAACGATGGTAATTTGGGCCAAAATATTTATCCTGATGTATGCATTAGAAATATCCAAAGGAAAACAAACAAAAAATAGTGGGATTTTTGTTAAAAATAAACATATGTATAAACACACATATTATGTAATCAAGTGAGTCTCATACTCTGATAATTTTGCATTATTCTTTATATATTAACTCCAAGGGACTTCTGCTGCTCAGCAATGGAAATTACCCATCCACAATCAGTAGTATTGGGTCCTAGTTATTAAGCCCTAGAGTTAAAGTGGTCAATTTATATAAAGTAAATATGATTTTAAATATATATTCTTTCATGACATAACTGAAAAATTGAATTTAAATAACATTACTGTGCTCTTGAATAGAAATTTGCCTGCCTAACTCCAACGTGAAACCCCCATTTTTCTTGTCTTCAAACATATTATTAATATAGTACAACTATAGTAGAGTTGAATTTATATGTAATCCTCAGTTCTAAATCAAAGTGAGCAAACTGAATGTAACAGGTGAGATTTGACCTTTCTTGTGTTTTCCTCGTTCATACAAATATTCTATTGTTTACTAAAAAAAACAACATTTTAAAACAAGAAAATATACATAGAATGTGATTAGTATTTTTCTTGTAAAAGTTCTTTTGGAGACAAGTTAATTAATCCTTGAATTTTTAATGAGGACATTATTTATTTTTATGGATGTTAGCAGAAATGTACAAGAAAATAATTGGAGACCCCTGTGTAGTATAATTGACCAAATTTGTAGGGTTGCTGCCTAGATCCAGAAAGCATTTACTTTAAAGTGTTTTATTACTAAATTATCTTAAAGTTTTTACCAGGATGGTGCACTATGGGGTAAAACATGATTTACCTTGTGGATACACCAGAAAACCTGCAGATAAAACAGTACAGAAGTTGCAGAGTACAGAGAATAAAAGTGTTGCTATCTTGGCTTTATTGAACATCTTCAGGGAGCTTAATCTGCCAATCATGAACAGTACTGTGGAAGAGCATGACAGTACAGAAAAGGAGAATCATCTGGTCATGAATGCTCTGTACATGTGCAACCTAATTTATCCAGAACCTCTGTGTACATGTCCATAAACAACTTACTCTTTTTGCATGGCCTTATTTAGAATAGGAAAAGGGTTTTTTTTTTAAAAAAAAAACTTGGTAGTTAATATTTAAACATCACTTACTTAAAATATATTTTAGCACCTGGTATAGATAGAGAATAATCTTCTTCTGTAAATACTGATTTAAATGTTCATAACACAACCCCTGCCAACCAAAAAACCTACACCTTTTGTTCTAGATAAAATAATTGAAATAGATGGAGGACCTATATAAATAGTTTACAAGAAGGGCCATTCTTCAGGGCTTAACACTTGGAATCTGGGCACATACCTGTCTGTTGTTTTTCCCATGCCAGTTAAAAGTTGGACCTAAAATTTACCTTACCATGGGGTAGGAAGTATAAATTGCTTGCTCCAAGCAGAAAGTTCTCTTACAAATGTTCTGGTGTGTGCTGCATGAGAGAGAGATACATTTGCTGAGAAAATCCACACTAAGGCCACATACAGATGTACATTTTCTACTGGGAGAATCTCCATTCTTCCAGTAGAAACAAAAGTGCCTGATGCTTAAACGTTTTCTCTCAGAATGAAAATGGTTGTACTGGGAGAAAAATAATACAGGAACAACCAGAGTTGAAACACTCCCAGGAGAGTTTCCCTAGGAGTTTCCCCTGGCTTAACTCTTTTTGGGGATCAGAAGAAGTGCAGCCAGGGAAAGACTTGCATGGTTCCCAGGACCAGGGCTACCCCAGTCTGGAGAAGGTGCAGGGGAGCAGCTATTTCCTGCCTCCAGTAGATGGGAGAAGAGTGGTGGAACAAACCCCAATGCAGTTCCCAGTGTGAGAGACAGGCAGGAGCTTTGCCATATCACTCCCTCTGGTTTACCTTGCTCAGCTTGGCAGTGGGGATGGTAAACCATGCTTATAAATCCAACTTTTAGCCCAACTGGTTTCCCCTTGCCTTCCCCTGCCATTAAGATAAGCAGCAGAGCATCTTGCCATGGCAAAACGCCCCTGCCTAGCCCTGCATTGTTCTGGGTCAGCCTTGCTGCAGCAGCTGAGTGCTTCTCCCCTACTCTATGTGTCTGTAGGTCAGCCCAAAGGAGTACACGAAGCAAGGCTATTCTCCTGTGAAGGAAAACCAGGACCGTTTCCACCATGAGAGAATACCCCGCTCCTGCCAATCAACTGATTGGTGGGATGAGAGGGGCATTCTCCCAGGGCTAGAACCCTCCAGGGCTGTCTGGCAGCTGCTGCTTTTCATCAGGCAGGAGAGTAGATGGGAGTCGACCTCTTGTGCCCACTGTCTGGTGAGGCTGCCTATGAAGCTCTCCCACTATGGGGCTGGAAGAATGTCTGTAGAGTTCAGGTCTGAGGCTATTTTTCTAATGTAATAAATTTCCTGCAGTAGAAATGAATATTTGTACATAGCCTAAATATCACATCTATCTTACTAATAAAAAGCGTGTATAGATACTGGGATTATTTTTTTAAAATCAGAAACTGCAAAATAGTGAGCTTTACAAAGAAATATGCCTAAGGACCTGATGCAAATCATACATGTTAATGTTGGAGTTGCTGAGGATAGTTAACACTGTGTAACCAAATGTCAACTGGCATATTTTGCAGCAATTTACTATAGAAATCTGTCTTTAATGAATATACAATAGCTTAGCTTCTAGGTTTTCAACTTCAGATGGTGAAGATTAAAAGTTAAGGGTGTTACTGTAAATGTTTAAGTGAGATGAACATTGCTGATTTTCTAAATTTTACCACATGGTTTACTTCAGAAGGAAAAAAGCACTAGCAACACAGCTCCATTACATACAGATCCACTGCAAGTCAGTAAACAATCACAAAAAACTCAGTACAATTCACTTCTTTGTTTATGTGGAGAGCGTTTAGTTTGGGTTGCAAAGTATTAGAAGAATAATATGAACCTCCTGATGAAATACCACAACAAAATTTCTAAAAAGCCACTTGGTTAATCTCAGTGTTGAATCTAGCTGTTTTAAATTACTGCAATGTATAGTAACAGTCTTAATGACAATATTGTTGCACAGAGCCAAAGAAAGCTAGAAATAGCGGCCCAGATGATGAGCTAAGAGCCAGCCCAAATGACAACAAACATATGGCTGTTTACTAGGAATAGAGGGGTTCAGGAATGCAGCTGTCTGCGGTCTAGAGAATGTTCCAGAGGAATGAATTCTTGCAAGGACCGACAAACTCTGGATGAGAGTAGTTCAGCTCCTGGAGGCAATAGGCCCGAAATTGAAGGCACTATCAGTTCATGGTAGAATTTAGAGATTTCTGTGGTTAAAATATATTCCATTGGCCTTACAATGTACATCAACAAATTCATATTGTATGGATGTCATTTCAAAGCCCACTGAAGACGAAGAGCCGCTATTGAAGCCATTAGAGCACAGATGGTTCAAACTATATGCAGATATTCATACTTGCATTTTTGCATTATAGCTGCTTTTTTGCTGTTGAACTGTAATGAATTGTCTCATAATCTATTCCATCTTCTTGCCATTAGCAGGCTTTGAATGTTCACAAATAGGAGCAAAGAACTCATTTTCCAGAGCTTTAATCACACAAAGAGGGAATGCCTAATTCTCTAAATGAAATGGTCTGTGATCAGTGAAGCAGAGATTTAATATATCACGGCAAATTAGGTAGATTTTAATAAATTACTTATCTCTCTGAATACTTTACATATGCTTATGAAGAAACATAGTCTGTTTGCAAACAGTGAAAACCCATAGCCTATAAGATCCTTTGAAGAAAATGACAAATAAAAAAGTAAATTAAAAAAATGAAATGCATTATATCCTGGTTCTCGAGAGAGAATTCTTATGCGGCATTGATTCATAGCTCCATTAAAAATATCAATTAAATCCTTCATTGAGATTGGTTAAAAGCTAGAAAATTAACTTTCCAAGCTGCTTTCTCCCCACTGGTTATCCAGATACAACGAAACATTGTATGTTTGATGTAAGTTCTAAAAGTGATCAAAAAAATCACTTGCCTGTCCCTACAGCTCACACTAAGCGGAACAGAATCTGATTGATTCTTTTATATCTTCTTTCTGTGCTTTGATAGCTGTTGGTTGAAAATGTAAATCTCTTTTACTGTAGACAAAAATGGTTGCAACTACCCACGCACTTCTTCAAATCATGATAATCACAAACAACTGATTATAATGTTACTGGAAGGGCAAAAGTTATTTTTAAAAAGGTTGCAGTAATTAAATAAGTCTTGCAAGTAGCCTCATTCTTTATATTTAATTGATAGAAACTGCATGCATCAAAGAAAATGCATACTGAGATTTAATGTGCATAAAATGGATATTAGCATTTTAAAGAGGCAGATTAACACATTAATCCAAGTAATTTTCATATATTGCTTCTAATAAAATCTTCACAGTATAAAATTCTTAATGAGGCTAATCACAGCCATTCCATTTAGTAGGGTGATTAGGGATAACATAAAAGTATTTTTAATCAGTTTTCTAAGGCTTATGCTTTTTTTATTAAAAATTAAAAATTTGACTTGCATTTTTATTACTATTTCATGTAGGAAAAATGTTGAAAATGCAAAATAAAGCACATCGTTCAATCATGTAGGTATTAATTATTTAGAATCTGTTGTCCATTGTGCAGAGATTCTTAGCCTTAGGGGGGAAATATAAAAACAAACAGACTGAAAAGTATACAAAACTTTACAACTACAAATCAAGCATCTTTTTCATATAAATTATACATTAAATGTACTATAGTAATTACAAAGATCTGATTTTTGAAGCGTTATCAAGCATGTATTTCATTGGGAGAAGAAGCTTCTGTAGGCACACTTCCCTTTCATGCCTCCTAGTCATCTCTGCATTCCTCACGGACTGAACGCAGAGCATGGAGGGCCTCCACTGTTACTTTGAGCTTTCCAATTACTGCACTATCATCCTGCGAATCGAAAACTGGAAAGGAAACATAAGAAAAGAATATTAGCAATTTTGTTTAGTTTCTGTGTTCTTATAATTTTGTTTTAGCACATGGGAAGATTAAAAGTCACACAACACAAGGTTAAAAGGAAAGAAGTTTAGTTCTAGTGCTCAATCCTGCAAGGGAGTAAACACAACCTCAACCAATACTGAAATCAAAGGCTCAAGATGGTGCTAAGTAGGGGTGTGCGAAACAGGCCCTGTTTGATTCAGATTTGGCCTGAATCAGGGACAGTGATTTGATTCATTGATTCAAATCATTGTCCCTGATTCAATTTGGCTGAGTCCAAATCTGAAGATTCAATGCTGATTCAGAGAATCAGCAATTCGGACATAGATACAGCTTTAAATGTTTTTTCTACATACCTCGAGGTACCAGAGAGGTTTGTGAATGCTGAGATGGTGGGGTGCATGGAGCGTCCTACAGGAGTGCAAGGGGGTGGCCCTCCACGTGCTCAGCGGCAAACCCAGAAGTAGACTCCAGTCCACTTCAAGGTCTGCTGAGGAGTGTGCAGGGGGGCTCCTCCGTGCCCCCCAGCTCAGTGATTGGCTGCAGGAGGACCTTGGGTGCCCCCCCCAGGCCCAGGAGACACCAGCCGCTGAGCTGGGGGTGGGTGTGTGGGGTGCTCCCCCCGTGCACTCCCCAGCGGACCTGGAAGTGGACCAGAAGTACTTCTGGGTCTGCTGGGGAGCCCCCGTGCTTCTGTGGGATATTCCAAGTGCCCCAGCATCGCAGCACTCATGAGCCGCCTGCTACCTAGAGGTATGTAGAAGAAGCATTTAAAGCTGTGTCTATGTCCAAATCTTTTCAAATCTCTCCAAATCGATTTGGAGGGTTCTGATTCAATTAGGAGAGATTAAAGGGTCCTCTGATTCTATTCGGATTGGAGATTTGGCCACAGAATCAGGCCGAATCTCCACCAAATCGAATCAGGGACTGAAGCTTCGCATAGCCCTAGTGCTAAGCACCTGGTAAAATTGAGTCCTCTTTGTAGCAGGTTGAAGGAATACATTCAGTTCCATCTCCCCCATTTGTTTGCACAAGGTCTAATTTCTAAGCTAACAGAACAGTGTATACAATATAACTTCCTAAATCATTTTTTATAGTAAAAAACAAATCAATAAAATACATGTATGGTTTCAATCTGCTTCTGCTGAAATCAATGAGCACATTGCCACCTACTTCAATGGTAGAAAGATCTCTTCAATGGGAAATCCTTAATTCTTTATTTTTTCCAAAGTTGGTGTGGTCAAAACAATTTTCTATATACCTACACAAATCTGATAAACCAATGTTTCTACCTTAATCTCATATATGTATACATATACCCACAGAGATATTTATATGTATATATTTGTGACTTCAGATGGCATATGGTGGACCTATCCATTTATGTTCCTTTACTGTAGTAGTTCAATTAATGTGACTGTTTGGGTCAGTTATTCAATGGAAAAATTATTTTAGCATCAAAGCTACAGACCTAAAATTATATATGTATGCATACGACTATTTACCAGCATGTATAAAGGGGAACAGAAACAGGTAAGATTCAAAGGTATAAAATGGGACATAAAGATACTGAGTATTTAACAAAATAATGCAATGTTTTCAACTAATAACAGACATGTACATAAATAAATTTCAAATTAGGTACCCAGATTGATATTCATCAACATAGAGACAAATACATAGATAAGTAAGGTGGGTGTATCACTATGTCTGCTAGTAGATCTCTTTATAAAAAAACAAAAACCAGCTTTCAGTAATTATAATACTGTTATCCAAATGGCAAATCATGCTTCTGAAACAGCTTAGTTTTACTCAGTGTTATATATTAGTGTCCATTATGGAACTCCTATTCATGTTTATCTACAAAAGTATTTGATATAATGAACTGTGTATATTGTAGCCAGATGTGTGGATGATTGTGGCCAAATCAATTTGTAGAGATATTAGATATTAAAGATATTAGTATACAAATGGCAAGCTGATATTTTGTCTGAGTGTATAGCTGTTTAAGAATAAGGCTTTCTGCATGCTACGAACAGACAAGACACTATCCCCCCTAAAAATAAACAAAATTTAACCTCCATTTTTTTTTTGTTAGGCACTAAGAAACGCTTAAAACCATGTTACTTTATACATGCTAGCTAACATGCTTTAAAATACCACTCATTTTTCCAGTCTAGACTAGGTCAGGGAGATTGATTGACAAAGTTACTGACAGTTCTGAGAATGTCAAACAAAGGTGCGGTATTAAATAACTATTAACTATTGTTATTGGCAAATTTAATAAACATCTGGACCTACAAGACCTGATTCAAGAGGAAATGTTTTTATAATTATTTGCACTAAGTAAATTTCTGGAGATGCTCTTTTTTGCCATTCTGTGAGCTATATTCATTTAGTTCTAGTGTTTTTTTTCTAAACATTAAAAGAGACACAGGGTGTGTCTACACAAGACACTAACAGGGAAGTAGAGTAATTCTACTGTGCATTAGCACAGTTTTTGCAAGCCACACTAATGTGCAAATGTATAGTACAATTATTTTACTGAGTATTAGCATCACTAAAAAAATGTTTCTCTGGGCTACTGTGCAGTAGCACCTATTATGGCACATTAAGTTACTACCTGATATTACAGGTAGTAACTTCATGCTTTGTAATTGCGGTGCATTAATGAACTTGTAGATGTGCCCACAGTCATGAATATAATATAAGAATTTAAATACAGGAGAGCCCAAAACAGTACTTCATTCAAAAAGCACCTGCCAATTAGTCAGGGTAATTACATCTTTTCTTACCATGAGTACTATAAGCCAAAAGTATTTTGCATGTCCCATATGAATTGCGAACGGCATACAGAGGATAGAAACTTTTGTATCTCTGACTTTGTACAATCTGAATAAATTCAGACTGAATGAAACTTTATACATCATATGTGTATTGTATAAAATATATAAATACTACCGTTCATCTAAAAACCTTAGCATTTGTATTATGACAACCAGTTACCCACTGAAGTGACATCAACAGAACCAAGACTGGCCATCAGACACTATACTGATAATATAATTACCTAAACACACTGATAAATATGCATGTGAAAGTATTTATCTAAATTCCTGATGGAAAAATAAGTATGTTTAAATCATTACTAACCCTAAAAGAATTACTCTGAATGTTCAAAGTATAAAAACATAGTACATGTTAAATAGGCCTGACAGATTCTTGGCTCTGCAATATCAATTAATCTATTAAAATCAAGCTAGTAACATTACTCAGATTTTTATTTAAATGTCTAACTCCTTGTTATAAGGAAGAATTAATTCTAGAAAGTTAAGGCAATACAAGCCATTTTCAGTGTTAAGTTATACACATACATGCAAGTATATCTTGAGACTTGAATAAGTTAATGAATAATTCACAAAAATATAACAACGAAAATTATTAAGTATTAAATATCTTGGAATAAAGAAGAAAACAATCTAGTATTTTTAACTAATTGACATTAAAAGTTAAGACTAAAGAAATCTTCTAAACTTACCATCAATATCTTGCTCAATAATGTCTTTTTCTTTCTGAAATATCTCTCTTAGGCTAACATATGCAAAGCCAATATCTTCACATTCTAGCTCTTGTTCATCTTCTGGGGGCTCACTAACCACTGTAAATCGTATGCTAAAAATAAAATGAAAAATCTCTAAGTGATTAAAGCCACACAGGTAAAAGAGCAAACATAAAAGGCAAAACATCTAAGGCAGGAGCAGGCAAAATATGGCCTGTGGGCCGGATCTGGCCTGCCAGGCAACTCCATCCAACCAACAGGTGCCCAACAATTAATTGTACCCTGCCCCACCTGCACACTTCACTCCCACCCTGGTGCATGGAAAGGCACAGCCCAGCCAGCATGTTCTGGGTGGGGCTGCTGCTGCTACTGATGCAGTCTCTGGGGGACCTGCTCAGCTTCCCCAGCCTCCAGCAGCTCTTCCTTGTCTCCCTGCTACAGTGTTTGCTCCTGGCAGCAAGTAGGGAAGCTGTGGTAGGGGCGGGGGAAGCTGTGGCAGGGGCAGGGGAAGCTGCAGCTGGGCAGAAGCACAGAGCATGGGGCTGGGGCTGGCAGGAGTGTGGAGCCTGCACCCTGGGGGGAATTGGGAACATGCAGCTTGGGTGGGTAGGGTGTGGGTATGAGGATGGGAGAGTGTGGGGACCTCCCCACACTTTCCCTTATGGCTTACAGCCCCCACAGCCGGTGGCAGCAGCAGCAACAGGCCAAAGCTCTTGGGGTGCTCATGGCACTGCTGCCTGGAGGCACACGGCTCTGGGCAGAGCTGCACATTAGACTTGTGTGAAGCAGCTAGTATTTGCTTTGGATTCAGCCAATTCAGGGGACAGAGATTCGACTTGGTGATTTGAATCACTGTCCCTGATCGATTCAGCTGAATCTGATTCAAAGATTCAGCTGCTGCTGAATCTCTGACTCACCCAGGCCCATCCCCTGCCCACTCTCCCAGCCCTGGCAATGGCTGCCCTGCCCGCCCCAGCTCCTGGCACTTTGAAAAAAACCCAACCCCGACTCACCGGGTGCTGCCGGATGGGATTGATCCCCACTGCCCCCATTGTCCCAGGCTGCATGGGAGGCTCTGCACAAGCCCTGTGACCCTCCCTGTCCCAACCCTCCCCATGGCTGCCCCACCCATCCCAGCTCTTGCCTTTTAAGGAAAAAAACCAACCCCACCCTCTGCACTCAGCAGGTGCTGCCCAGCAGGGGGAGATCCCCACTGCCCCCTGCTGCCCCACACCACATGGGGGACTCTATCATGAGCCCCCAAAGCCCCAAGGCTGCTGCAGGAGCTGGTGAGTCCCGGGATTTTTTTCATTTTTTTGGTCTTAAAAGGGCCGGAGCTGGGGTGGGCAGGGCAGCCATGGTGGGGGAGGGGGCTGGGGGAGTGAGCGGGATTCAGAGAGCTCATGCAGAGCCCCCACGCAGTATGAGGCAGTGGGGGACAGGGGAGATCGCCCCCCATCTGGCAGCACCTGGGCTGTTTTTTAAAGCATCGGGAGCTGAGGCCAGGTGGGGCAGCTATGGGGGGGCTGGGGGAGCAGGCAGGGGATGCAGGCTGGCAGGGGCCCCCCATGGTCCCCTCCCCCAGCCCCCCCTCATCTGGCCCCCACTTACCAGCTCCAAGTCCGGCTCCAGCTCCCTAATGCAGGGGGTGGGGACTGCCCAAATCACTGAAGCTTTCCAAACCTTTTCTGAAAATTTGGAGAGCTTCAAATTGATTCGGATCTTTTTACTGGTCCCCAATTTGATTCAGATTTGGAGATTTGGCCACCGAATTGGGCTGAATCTCCTCCAAAACGAATCAGCATCCGAAGCTTCACACCACCCTACTGCACGTGGCAGTAAGAAGCACATCCAGGCTGGCCCACATTATGCAGATGCGAAGACTCCACTAGAAGTGATGGGGAGCCTCGCCCCCTGCTTCTCCAGTGTTAGCTGGCTCTATCATGCTGGGATTCCCCCTGCTGGTGCACAAGTACCAGGAGCTGCACATGCGCTATAGGGAGCCCCATGATAGAGGTGGACTGGCCTGGCTGCACACCTTGCCACCATGTGCAATGTTGGTTGGAGCCGTGTGCTGCCAGGCAGTAGTACCACAAGTGCCCCAAGGGCCCCCACCTGTTGCTGCTGTCACTAGTGGCAGGGGCTGTGCACCACAACCTCCCATCCTTCCTCACAAACTCCACACACCCACACTCTGCCCCCCACAACCTCCCCACATATACATACCCTATACCCCCTCACACACAGCCACAACGCCTCACAAGCCACACACCCCCACACTGACAGCAACCACACCCCACACACAATATACCAGAGTAAGACTTTATTTTGACCTATTATGCAGTCACTTCTATATACACTATGCGAACACAAATCATGACAAAAATATTTTTTGTAATAAAATTAAAATATGTTATAGTAGATGTTTGACTTTTAGTGTATGATTTTTTTTTCTGTGTCAGATGGCAACCCTCCCTCCCAAAAGGAGTACTTCTGGGGGCAAGGGGAAGGACTTCTGGTGGCAAAGGTCAGGGGCTAGGGGGTGGGACTTCCAGTCCAAAGATTGTCACCAGGGGGGCAGGGCACCTGTCAAGGGGCAGGGCTACCCTTATGGCCCTTGACAGCTCACCAAAACTGTCCCTCCAGCCAAAACAATTGCCTAACCCTGATCTATGCTTTTACTTCTGATGAGTGGATCTCAACAATTTCCAATCTCCCAAACCCTATTTACAATATAGGCTGAGGGGCAGAATGCTTGTTATCCTTGGTTGGAAGAAGTATGATTTTTACATAAGATGACAGCCAATTCCTATTTATACTTCAATGTATTAGGAAAGATAGGTCTGTCTACACGATGGAGTATGTGGATTAAGGCCAGAATTCCCAAATTCTTTGCTGAGCTCTGCTGTCAATTCAGCTGTGCAAGGTACTTTTTCCCTACATTAGTTTTTCTATTTATAAAATGAAATTACACCTACATACTTCCAGAGTTTCATAAAATGATTTAAAAATGCAACAAAATACAGAAGATGTTTTGTTTTTGGTTTATCTTAAGCACACTGACCTTCATGTACAGTTTGTTTGAAATGACAAATGAACTTCACCTCCAGAAAACCCCCCCCCCTCAAATATTCAGTTTCAATGTGAGGTTTTTAATTTTTATTGGAATATATATCCTTCTATTGGAAAATGATAAATTAAATGTAATCAGAGTTTTGCTGGTTAAAATCTTTCTGTACTACAGAAACTAGTCAACCAGAACCAGAAGACCTGCCAATACAGTTAAGAATTACTATCACCTAGCATTCTCTATGTACATGTTATTTTGGCACTGTGCTGAATCATGATAAACAGATGGAAGAACTATTAGGAATAGCAATACCAGACAATAAATCTCCCAAATATCAGAAATACTAGCCATATTCAATGAAGCAAATATTTCTAAACATAAACTGCAAATATTCAGCTGTAAGATATTTGGGAAAGTACACATCCCAACTGGGTATCAGGTGAGCATGTGCCAGTCAAGAAAAATGCCACTAGTTATGCTCCAAAACAGCAACAAAATTACAACAGAAAGTCTGTTCCCGTATCTTCATAATGTAGTATCATGTGTTTGCTGTTTAGAGTTTGATCTTGATAACTACCCAGGTACAAGCACATATAACGTACATCTTCTTAAAGATTTCTAGGATTAATTGCTTTGAGCTTTATTTACTTTGCTTAGTGTTGAGTGAGACCTATATTGTCACTAATGCTACTTGAAACTCATAAGTCTATTAAAACAGTTTAAAAAAGAGAAAATCAAAACTGATTTTCTCTTTATCTGGGTATAGCAATTACCTGTTAATCTTTTCCCATCCTGTTCCCAGTTCTGTGTCCTAACTTTCCTCCTCCTAACTTTCTCACTCTCTGCCACTTATCAAATCAAACACATAACAGAAAAAAAAGGAAAACAGCTTAGTTTTCTTCTTTCTCCTCTTATGTCATTTCCTTTAGTCCTCTCCCCATCATAGCTAATACCTACTAGCTGTTATGTTTTTCTAAAAGGATCTGGATACAGTCTAAATAATAAGACCTCTGAATAAAATTATCATCCAACCCAAGCAAGGACCTGTTTGCCAATCCTAAACATCTAAACCCAACAGATACACAAAATGCATTTATTTCAATCACTGCATCCAAATATTGCTTTCCTTTCAAACTTATAATTGTAGTGTTCAGTTGTGTCTGACTTGAATTACTGGCCTGTGCAGAGGCCAAAAGCAGTGGTACTGACCAAATGACAGGAATTAAGAGTTAACTGTATAGATATAACTTGGCAATGTTGTTTAAGCCATGAGTATTCATAAACTTTACCACCTAAATATTTTTCAGTAAGCACGATTCCAAATGTGAAACAAGCTGCACAAAATCCAAGTGTATAAAAGATGACACCTTAAATAAAATGTAAATAAATCCTTCTAAAAGCCTTCAAATACATTAGCAGCAATTGCAGTATGCTTTCCTAGGGTTTTAGTTTTAAGTTCAGCTAATTATCTAAGAATAAATATTTAGTTCCTTTACTTAAATGTTTGTTTTTAATTACTAACACACACACGTTTTTATATATATACATATATATACATATATATGCATCTTAAAATTTATTTTGAAAGGACAACATGAATTGTTGAGTATATCTCAAACACCACATTCATGAGGCAGGAGAGCCAATGGATTATGATGGATGAAACTGTCAAAATTCTGGCACAATCCAAACAAAAAAGAAATAATTCTCATATACATATCAAATGAAATAGCTAATGAAAGATGCAGTAAATTACACAAACATTCTAAAAGAGGTTGAGAAAGCTATGTTTAGAATATTGTGTATAAATCTGGTTATTTTATGTTCAAAAGGATAGAGGGCAGCCAAATGCTTTGGTAGCTATGGCTAGTCAAACTCACTGGAGTTACATGATTGAGGCATTAGAGACAAAAGCAAGGAATAAGGCTAGATGCAACTTTTGGCACATACTTTTAAGATACTACCTCAACTTAACTATTTATTTTAACAGGGAACAGAACAAGAATGTTAGTCCTTGTTCCTGCCTGGCCTTGAACAGCCGTTCATGTGCTGCCTTGGCCCGAGCAGCTGGTGACAGATGTACCGCTGTCTCTTGTGGTCCCTGAGGTAGGTCTATAGTGCCTCTTTGGCCACCCCCAAACTCACCTGCCACGACTTTGAATGTACTACCAGTGGGGGGGCGAACCACTGAAGGTCCCTCAGTGGTGGGTACTCCTCCTGACAGCCGTCTGTGGAGCTCCACCACCCCTACACCCCAACCTCATGCCAACCTCCAGCGGGACACCAGGTTTTGTGGCGGCCGTTCCTCCAGTGCAGGTGCATCCAGAACTCTGACACCTCTCTTGGGTTTTGTGCGCTGTGCATTTTACTTCTGCGGTGGCCTGCAGACCTACTAGTTATGCCCTCTGGGCCTCAGCTTGCTCTGGGACCCCTGAGATAGGGGGAAACAAAAGAAAAA